ATCCCAGTGTGGACGCCCTGCTGCACCATCCCAGCGTGGACGCCCTGCTGCACCGTTCCAGCGTGACCTGCTGCACCGTTCCAGGGCTCAACGAGCACTCGGCTTCCATCCCCTCCCCAGTGCTCCACTCCCAGCAGTCATCAGTCTCCCTTCTGTACCTGTGGATTTCTTTTTCTGGCTATTTTATATAAAGGGAACCAGAAAGTAATGGCTTTTTGTGTCTGGATCCTTTTTTCTCTTTCTCTCTCTGCCTCCGTCTCTCCCTCTCTCCCTTCCTCCCTTCCTTCCTCCCTTCCTCCCTCCCTCCCTCCCTCCGTCCCTCCCTCCCTCCCTTCCTCTGCCTCCTCTTCTTCTATACAGGGGTTCTCTACATAGCCCAGGCTGTCCTGGAACTCACTCTGTAGACCAGGCTGGCCTAGGACTCACCGAGGTCCGCCTGCCTCTGCTGCCTGCCTCTGCCTCCCGCCTCCCTGGCACTGGAATTAAAGTGTGTGCCACCACACCTGGCTCCATTTTTTAAGTTTACTTTTTATTATAACCACCCTAGTTGTTATGAAATGGTACCTCACTCTGTGTGTATTTAGATTTGTTTTCTTTTTAGTTATGTATCCATGTGTGGGTAAATGCACACGAGTACGGGGGCCCTGGGAGGCCAGAAGTGGGTGTCAGGTCCTCTGGAACTGGAGTTACTGCAGTTGTGATCTACCCAGATCCCAACTGGGAATCAAACTCAGGTCCTTTGCAAGAAGCAGTACATACTTTATTTTATTGATATTTATTGAGCTCTACATTTTTTCTGCTCTCCTCCCTGCCTCTCCCCTCCCCCCTTCAATCCTCCCCCAAGGTCCCCTTGCTCCCAATTTACTCAGGAGATCTTGTCTTTTTCTACTTTCTACTTCCCATGTAGATTATATCTATGTAAGTCTCTCTTAGTGTCTGCATTGTTGTCTAAGTTCTCTGGGATTGTGGTTTGTAGGCTGGCTTTCTTTGCCTTATGTTTAAAAACCACCTATGAGTGAGTACACGTGATAATTGTCTTTCTGTGTCAGCGTTACCTCACTCAAGCAGTATATACTTTTAACCAGTGGGCCATTTCTCTTGTTCCTCACCATAGCTTTATTTTATGTTTATTTATTTACTTATTTATTTACTTTTGAGAAAGGACCTTACCACATAGCTCTGGTTAGCCTAGAACTCGGTATGTAGACCAGGCTAGTCCCAAACAGAAAAATCCACCTGCCATTGCCTCCTAAGTGCGGGGATTAAAGGATTGCTTCGCCACCCCCACTCCCACTGTGGTTTTAATTTGCATTTAGTCCACCGTCCTCTTTGCGGTTAAGCAAAGCAGCCCCACCCGCCATTCATGCCTCAGTTTCCTCTCTCCAAATTGGTGCTACACAGGACCGTGGGAGAGTTAAATGAGTAGATCTTGTGAAGGATCTAACACACGTCAGACACACAGCAGGCACGGCTCCCAAGACAAGCTTAATGGCCCTCGTTCTTGTGAGGTCCTGCCGGAGGCTGGCAGCCTAAGTTACAGGAGCTCCTCTTTGCTTGACGGTCCCATCCTCTTCCAGGAGCACACGGGACGCCACGGGGAGCTTCTGCAGTATGAGTCGAGCTGACATTTCTGAGGGCCGTAGATTTCTCCGACCTCTGTTGCGTTTCCACTCCCTCTCTGTAGTCCTGTGACTTCCTCCTGAGAGCGCTTCAGACTACTCAGCTACTGCCGCATAGTGGGCAGTCTTGGAAGTGCATCTTTCCCTTCTCCCTTGCTTGGCGTGGGAACAGCCCTGAGACAGAACCGGGATCAGTCAGTTCTCTCTTCTGCAACCGCACCCTTGACGGCCTCTCCCTTCCTTCTCTGCTGCTCCACATCCCTTCCAGTTTTCCAAGGAGCACCCCCAAAATCACAAAGCCACGTGTTCTCAGTTCAGAATCTTCTTCGGGGGGATCTGGTGCAAGACGTAGAGCACCCACTGTGTGTCGCACTTTGTACAAAACGCTGAAACAGACAGAAGAATCAGTTGTTATTCCTGCCTCGGCGCTCAGGGCTCGGCTGGGCTGATTCAAAGCAGCAGTGATACCAGGAGGCTACATTGTTGTCACTGTGCGCAGGCGCAAGGTTGTACACTTGGGGTACATGACTTATTTTTGAACCACATAACAGCTCCTTAACAGAAAACTAAAGCCCTACGAGGTCAATATTTTGTTAAGGGTTCCATGGCCTGAAACTGGGGGCAACCACCAGTGCGCCTTTAGAATGCCTCCTCTTGATAGAGGGCTATGCACTGATTCACCCGCGGATGCGTGTAGCGGAGGAGAGAGGGTGTAGCGAAGGAGAGAGGGTGTAGCGAAGGAGAGAGGGTGTAGCGAAGGAGAGAGGGTGTAGCGAAGGAGAGAGGGTGTAGCGAAGGAGAGAGGGTGGCTCTCCAGGCCGCTATGGGACTAGTAGAAGAGGATTTCACCAGTGCTTTGCAAACTTCCGTGAACGACTGAAGTTAAGAGAGAAGTGGGGCTAGAGAGATGGCTCAGGGCTCAGTAGTTAAGAACACTCCATGCCCCTCCAAAGAACCTGAGTTTGGGTCAGGAGGCTCACAACTGCTTGTAATTTCAACTCTAGGGGACCTAACACCTTCTTCTGGCCCCCAGGGAGGCACCACCAATACCCTGCCTCTCGAGAGAGGGGAAGGCAGGCTGCTTGGGTGTCAGTAGGGCACTCACCCCTGTGAAAGATTGCTTCCAAGATTTTGCAGTGAACTGGCCTCAGCTGTTGCCACAGCAACGGAGCCCCCCCCCCCCTGGGCAGACAAGGTGATGGTGTCTCAGGCTGTCCTGAAGGCTCCATCATTAGTCAGACCCCTTGGTGCAGAGGCCCTCCATTCACCACACCAACAACCAGTCTCTAGGAATCAAAAGTTCCTGATACATACAGGCTGCTGAGCGAACATGCAAGTCTGGGTGATTACATGAAAGCTGCCTGCTGCAAACGTCTATACAGCTCTGTTCTTCCCAGCTGAGTGACTGCCGGGAAGTTGTCTTTCCTCTCTGCTTTGGGGAGACCGTCTTCTGAATGGGGAACACGCTGCCACTGGCCACAGGACTTGTGAACTAAGTGAGACACTATTCAGAGCAGATAGAATGGTTTAAGTGTCATTCTCTTTAAAGGCTTGAGTTTAAGCTGGGCGGTGGTGGCGCAGGCCTTAAATACCAATATTCGGGAGACAGAGGCAGGAGGATCTCTGTGAGTTCGAGGCCAGCCTCGGCTGCAAGAGCTAGTTCCAGGACGGGCTCTAAAGCTACAGAGAAACCCTGTCTCAAAAAAAAAAAAAAAAAACAAAAAAGACTTCAGTTCAGTCCCCAGGATCTACACGGAGGAAGGAGAGAACTAACTCCTCAGAACTGCCTCTACAAACTGCCCCGTCTCCACATACAGACAAAATAAATAAATAAATAATACAGACAAAATAAATACAAATGAAGTGAAGTTAAACAAAGAAAGAAAGGAAAGAAGGAAGGAAGGAAGAAGAAAGAAAGAAAGAAAGAAAGAAAGAAAGAAAGAAAGAAAGGAAGAAAGAAAGAAAGAAAAGAAAAGATAACGAAGGGCCCTGCCACCCACTGTCCCAGCCCTCCCTCCCTGGTTGCATCTGTCCCACACAGGCCCCCTTGTGTTTCCTGACTGGAGTCTTGTGCAGCGGGACCTAGAGGGACGAAGGGGCGTAGTGGTCTCAGGGATACCACCCTACAGTAAATGAGGACACTGTGCACCAGCCTGTGGGCTCTGTGGAGGCGGACAGTGTTGGCCTGGTGCCCTACACCTGTGCGGAACCCAGCTCCCTGCTTCCTGCCTGTGTGACCTTGGCAGGTCCTTCTCCAGGTCTTGGTGACTTTTACGAGCTCTCAGTAAACAAACGGTGCTTCATTTGATCCTCAGCTCACCTGGTGCTTGGAGTCCTGGTGGAGGCGGCTGGGCAGCCAGGAGCTGGTGTGGGAGGCTGGGGCGGTGGCTTTCCCTGAAGGATCGTGGCTGGGGGCATTTCCTGTTTCGGGCAGGTGCTGTTGTTTGAGAAGCCAGGGCCACGTGCAGGGCAAGGCCCGGAACAAGGGCCACACCTACTGAGGCCTGTTCCAGCCCCAGCCTCTTGGGTCCAGTGACAGGGCTCAGTCCCAGGCTTCAAGGTCCCTTATTGAAAAGAAGCAGGAAGCTGTGGCAATATTGTTGGCAGGGGCATCTCCACAAATGTTGGTGGGGGGTTCCCTGGAGGGGGTTCCCCGCCCAGCCCCCCAGCTCTAGATTATTTTGAAGCATGCCTGAGACAGGTTAGCATTCCACAGATATTTCATTTTTATCTATAGTAAGGACCCATCTAAAAGGGGAAAAAAGATCAACTTAACTACAGGAGCTTGTGACCCTGGAGCTGCTCGCCTCCCGTTTTCCCCAGCATGGCTCCTGAGGTCATAAAAGGGGCTCTGAAATGAATAATTTCACTGTGTGACAGGTTGCCTTTGCCCAAGGTGGTCCCTTCTCCCCAGCCTGTGGAGGAGCAGAGGGAGAGGAGACCGCTGTGGGCAGCCTGGTGCATGCCCCTAGTGACTGTAGCTCCTGGTTCTGCCTGAACCTGTGCTGAGGGCCTGGGGGACTCTTGCTCCCTTATGGGCCTCAGGTGCAGTATTAGGTTGGCTCAGGTGATGACACCTCTCACTCTTCTAGTTTTCTTTATTCTGTGTGGATGCAGACAGGCAGACAGACAGACGTGTGTGCTCTCACATACATACACACACAGACACAGACAGACAGACAGACAGACAGACACACACACACACACACACACACACACACACGCATTCCTGGATGGGATGTTCTTGATCATCTCTCCACTTTTTTTTCCTTTTTGGTATGAGTGGTCTGTCTGCATGTGTGCCCGCAGGCCAGAAGAGGGCATCAGAACTTATTATAGATGCTGTGAGCCACTATGTCCTTCTTGGGAGTTGAACTTGGGTCATCTGGAAGAGCAGCCATCTCTCCAGCCCCTCCACCTTCTTTAGAAAAAAAAAAGATGTATTTTAATTTATGTGTATGGGTGTTTTGCCTTCTTGTATGTCTATTACCATGTTTGCGCACTGTCTGCAGAGGCCAGAGGAGGGTGCAGACAGAGGGTGGAGTTACAGACAGTTGTGAGCTGTCTTGTGGGTACTGGGAATGGAACCCAGGTCCTCTGCAAGAGCAGTCACAAGCCATTTCTCCAGCCTCCCCCCTCCCCCCTTTTTATTTTGAGACAGAATCTCTCATTGAACCTGGAACTTGCTAGGCTGGCTAGTAAGTTCCCAGATCCCCGTCTGTCACTTCAGTACTAGGATTACAGGGTCTGCTTCTTTAATTCTTTAAAAAGAATGTGTGTGTGTGTCTCTCTGTGTGTGTGTGTGTGTGCGCGCGCGCGTGCGCGCGCGCGCACAGGTGTCCATGGAGACCAGGAGAGGGTGTCAAGTCCTCTAGAGCTGGAGTTGAGCATCTGACATGAGTGCTGGGAACTGAACTTTGGTGCTCTGGGGAGCAGCATGCGTTCTTAGCTGCGGAGCCATCTCCCCACCCCCTGAGCCTGGTTTTTCTGTTAGTGCCAAGGATGTGATCTCAGGCCTCTGCAGCAAGCCTTTGCCCACTGAGCCTTCTCCCTACCCAGTGACTGTTCATTCCGTCCTTTGCTCCCATCCTTCCCTGCTCCTTTCTGTCTGTGTGGCTCCTGCCAGTGGGTCTGGCTATTTTCCAAACATCTATTATTATCTTTTATATACTTTGGTATATATACTTTGGTAAATGCCATTGTAACATAGTCACCCCCATCCTATTGCTGCCTTTACCCCAGGATGGGTATCCCATTTTCCTTGCCCACACCCCACCCCGAATAAGCTGCTTCTGAATGTCCTGGCAATGAAATCACAATGGAATTGGGTTGCAGGACCCTCGGGTGCTTAGTCTACTTAGGCTGGCCAACACAGGGCCAGCGTGGCTGCCCAGCATACCCTATCTCCCACAGCCTTCTGACTCCTCTGTCCCCCAGTCTCTACCAAAGCTGGGCTCATTCTGTTGTCTCACTCACCTACCAGAGGTAAAGTGGTGTTTGGTGGCTTTAAGTGACTAGATCGGGGGTTCCCAGGGTCCCCACCTCCTTCTTCCTCTAGCAGAGTCACCAAGAATTTGCTATGTAGTCCAGGCTGGTTTCAAACTCATGGCAATTCTCCTGCCTTAGCTCAGTGTTGGGATCATACCCGTGAGCGAGCGTAGCTGGCTGGCATTCCTCCCTGTGTTTATTAGCTTTGGAGTTTTGTGTCTTTCCATCACGTGTCTGTTCGTCGTCTTCGCTTTTGGGGTAGGATCTCTGTCCTCTTGTTAATCTGCAGAACCACCCTGGCTGTCTACTCTAGATGTCACCCTCTGAGCATCCACTGTTCTGTCATCTTCCGGCACTTTGAAATCTGACTCCTCTTCCCTCCTGCAGGCTCCTCAGGAGTGGACGCCTCCCAGAGGCCCTTCTCGCTCTCTGCCCTTTTGCTAAATGCCAGGTGTCAAAGACAAGGTACAGCCTGCACCAGGAACTGCTCTTGACAAGGGCAGGCCAGGGTGGCAGGACAGTGCTCAGAGCCCCTGCCTAGCGTGGTCAGAGCTGGCTCTGCATGCTCCCCCTAGTTTGGCCATTATGTCAGATCTGGTCTACAACTTGATGAAGACTCTATAGTTAGCTGCAAAAGCTCCAGGCGGGGAGGGCTCATTTCTTTAGGCCAGGGCTCAGCTGGGCCACATAGCAGGCTTTGCCGGCCAGGGTGGACTTTCCCAGAGAGGAGTCTTCTGCACTAAACACCAGAATTCCCCAGGCCTCAATAAGGACTTAGTGGAAGGCGTGGGTGGGAATGGGGGCCTGAGCTCTCCCCTGTAGTGTTTGGAGCTGTGATTTCTATGCCTTTGTCCTCTCTGGCTACAGGAGGTTTTGCCATTGTCCTGTTTCTTAATGGGGCCGACTGCCTGGCAGACACTAGGAGATGCTTTGCTCGGCCGACCTGCCTCTCTCTTAACTCCGAGTGACCTTGTGTGAGGCCTTTCTCTCTGGGCCTCACCCCCTCTTCCGAACACCGTGTGCAAGGCCCTATGGAAACCTCTGGAAGGATGCCAGGGTGGTAGTAGAGGGTCTTTACCCTGGCACACCATGCAAGGATGAAAATGACTAGGAGAGGGGCTCCCAGGGTCCCAGCTCCAGGCTCCTGTGTCCTCTTCCCACAGCTTTGATGTGCTAGGCCTGAGCACTTTCCACCCAGGACCTCCCTATTCTTTCCACCTGCAAATGGCACTGGGTGTGTGTAGGGGTGTGGCCCAGTGAGCCCCAGCCACCACGTCAACTCACCAACTCACCTAGCTCTGAAGCAGCACAAAGATCTGAAGTCACACAGCTCTGCTTGCCGGAGTCCTCATGTCCTCTTTCACTTTGGGGAACCCCGACATCCTTGGGCTAGATCCTCTCCTCTCTTCTCTAACCCAAACCACAAGCCGGCAAGGACCCTCCACTTCTTGCTCACCCAGCACCTTCCCTGTCCCACCCTCCTGGTCCTTACAGAACTTCTGTTTTCCTCCACCCTTCAGCCGTGTTCCCAGTGTCCCTGGGATGCCAGTAATGGCTGGTGCTACACAAAACCAGTGGCGGTCCTCCGCAGGCCCTGCCATGCAGTGTCATGACCTCTGAGGCATCCCACACCGGATCCTGAGCAGGGCAACCCCTGGAGCAGGACATCCTCTAGGGCCCAGAAAGTCTGGCACACTGGGCCTTGGCAGCTGGCCTGGCACATGCCTGACATGGCTCGTCTGAAGGCGACGTGTCTGCCCCTCTGGAAACATCTACGTTATCAGAGGGGAGAGAAGGGGCTGGAACTCTTAGCTCCTGGGACGTGCAGAGACTCATGCCCTGGAGTGTGTGCACGTGCTTCTGTGTGTGTGTCTGTCTGCACATGCAGCTGTGTGCTCCAGGCCCCTGTGATCCCGTCCCAGAGCGGGGGTGGGAGGTCCACATTCCCCACTCCGCTCAGTTCCTCGTTCTAACACTGTATGGGGTTCCCCTGCGCACGGTCTTAGCCACTTCTCACGCCGGACCTGCTTCTTCTGCTGGATGATGATACAGGCTGGCAACCTGTGTCGTGGTTCCGGGTGGGGATGATCTGGGGACACCTGGCCTAGCCAGCCTGAGACCTTGTTGTAGAGCCTTTGGGGGAGCCGGGGAGCACCTCCATCAAGGCCCCTGCTCTGCCCTGTCCTGTTTCATCTCCTGGGTGTTACATTCCACAGTGGAAAGCGATCCTCCATCCTCACTAGGGTTACAGACAGGGCTGGCCTGGGCTGTCCTGGGAATGCAGAGGCCAGCCTTTCTCACACGGCTCTCCTCCTTCTGCAAAGGCACGGGCAGGGGGTGATACTGGTGCACCCCAGCTTGAGGACCTCTGTGGTGGGGGCTGGATAGTTTGTGTCACCCTTCTTTCATGGGGGTTGACACTTGGGAGACGGAGGGGACCACGTGCAGGTGTCCGTAATGGGCTCTTTCAGGGGATGGCTGGGGTCTAAGCCCTTGAATCTTGGGATGCCTGACCCTCTCTGCCCCTTCACTTCTGCTCTGACCCCCTCCCTCAGGTTGAGGCCCCTGTTCCTACTAAGCCGGGGATTTCCGCAGGCTGAGCCAACCACCTGACCCTAATTATGGCGCCCTCATCCTGTTAGGGTTAAGCTCCTCGTGGCCTTCCCTCCCCCACTCTAGAGAGGGCTGACTGGTGTCCCCCTGGGGCCCCTGGAGGAGAGGAGACCACTTATCCTATGGGTCTGGGCCAACAGGTTAAATGGTTTCCCTGGAGAGGCCTAGGGACAGGGGCTGTTCTGAGGCACTGGCATCTGAAGGACGCTGCTCTGAGGGTCTCTGTACTAAGAACGATCTCCTGCCTCAGCCCTACCACAGCTGACTGCCATTTCCCTATTAGTCAGGACAGGGCAAGCATAGCTGGTCAAAAACCCTGCACGGGGATGGCCACAGACAGCCAACCTGAGGATCCTCTTGTGTCACACTGAAGAGACTGACGCTCAGTGAATGGCAGCAGACCCATAGTGCAGGCCACCCCACGAGCTGGGACTTCTAAGCCCGGGGCGGGTCACTTCCTCTTGCCCTCCTCTGTCTCCTGGAGACTTCTTGCCTGGTTCCCTGTTTGTTGAGTGTGATCTCTACCCATTCCATCTGTGTGTTGGGAAGCGATGTGACTCTGGGCGTATCGCTTGCCTCTATGTGCCTTGTGGTATCAATGTAAGAAGTAAGCATGGGGAAGGTTAACTAGTCCTGCTTCTTGTCTGGGATGGAGACTATAACAGCAGGGGCAGTAGTGCAGCCACTTCTGGATCACCCCCCCCCCACCACCACCACCACCACAATCCGAAGGAGCTGGAGTTTTGGAGCCAGTCTCCTGGCCGACTAGACTTGCTGGAGGGCGCTGCAGTTATAGAAATGACCACTAGGTGTCAGCCTCAGCTCATACTTGAAGTGAAGCTGTGCCACAAGGGGCTCCTAGTTGGAACTGTCCCTTTAGGGAGGTTTAGAACGGTGGCATAGTCCGCTGGGCTGGGCAGGCAGTTGCTGCGGGAAGATCTTTGCGGTGACTCACCTTTCCCAGGACCCAGATGACCTGGCTAAGAAGCTCAGTTTCACTTCAGATTTTGATATTGAACAGTTTGTAATGTCTTCTTCTCTATCCCTGGATATACACGGGTTCCTGCGGCACAATGAGGCAATATTCTTACAGAATGACCCCTGACCCACGCATGCCAGATCCTGTACACACAGAGGTTAGCCAGTATCCACAGCAACACTGTACAATAGGCATGGTGGTTAGCCCACATTACAAGCGAGGAAACAGAGGCTCGGACCTGTCCCCCACTTAAAGGAGGGCTGGAGCCAGATTTCCCCCACAACAGGTAGGTTTCTGGAGTTCTGTAGGCTGCCATGCTGAGGCAAGCCTCCTGTAAGGTTGGGAGTGATATGGCAGGTGACATCCTTTATAGTTAGGCTCTTGGTGTACCCATGAGCCCAGCGAGAGGAAGAAGGGGCTGTGCTTCTTGGAGTGGGTTTGGGGGTGCCAGGTGTCCTGCACAAGCAGGCTGGGAGACTCTCCTGCCCGTGCCCTCCTTTGAGTAATCTCCCCACCTCAGGGTCATTTCAGTTTCTTCCCCTGTCACTTCCGCAGATGGACTTTGTTCCCTTACCACTCTGTCCCTGACGCCTGTTCATTTCCAGGCCATATATGAAGATGGACTAGACAAGCCACTCCCACCTCACCTGAAGCTGAGACCAGTGACTTCTCCAGGCCGTTTGAGTTTGTGTCCTAGAGTTAAGAGTTTCGGGCATACTTACAGCTTAAGTTTTTGTTTGTTTTTTTTTGAGACAGGGTTTCTCTGTGTAGTCCAGGCTGTCCTGGAACTTGCTTTGTAGACCAGGTTGGCCTCAAACTCAGAGATCTGCCTTCCTCTGCCTCCTGGCGTGCTGGCATCAAAGATGTGTGCCCCCATGCCCAGTAACTTAAGTATTTTTACATTTTTTTGGTAATATCTTTATGCTAAATGAAAATAGGGCTGAGATGGGCTATTGGAAAATGCATAGGTGTTCCAGGACTTTCTTCCAGCATGCCTGTACTGTGCATACATCCATTCTTTACTAGAAACTTAAATGGTGCAGAAACTGGGGGCACGGGCAGTTCAGTCCCACTCAGGATAACTGCCTTGCCCACCTCTTGTCTCCTAACCAGAGGGATAAACCTCAGGTGGGCACAAGTGGGGAGTGTGAGCAGGGCTATGTCTCGGGGTGGGATGGGACAGGGATGATCTGGACAAGAGCTGACTCTTATTTTACATTTCTAATGCTGAGCACGAGCGCTCATTTCTGCTGTTGCGGGTGATACAGAACCAGGACACTATGTCCCAGACTAAATCGGATTCCATGTGCTTTAGACAGTTTAGTTCATTTTCATGGTTAAGCTTCTCACACGGGACACTTTGGAAACAGCCTCTCAACTACATACCTGCAGGACCAGGACAGAGACCAGCTCTGATAGTCTCATTTCCCTCCTGGACACGAGGTCTCCGAGTCCCCACTGCCTGGGCAGGTCCTTCTGAAAGAGCCAGCACTTGAGGACTTATAAAAGAAATTGTAGGAAAGAAGGGGTGGAGGTCACATCTGGGGTACATTAGGGACCCCCCACCCTTGGGCCCACTTCCTCAGAACAAGACTCTTTCCCCCAACCCTGGACAAAATGACTTGTGAAGGATTTGTCTGCCTTCAAGAGTGGCTGCCAGGACGGTGGCCATGATGGCTGGCCCAGTTGTGGGTGCCTTTGTGCATTCTGACTGGGTGTCTGTGTCTGCAGTCACTAAGCGCTTGTTCTGTGGGGTAAGGGGTGTGGGGGTGGGGGCACGGCCTGTAGCAGGGAGGTACGTGAGGCTGGGCACGAACAGCCTCACCCACCAGTCCTGCTCTTGCCAGGTACGACCAGCTGCTTCGGACAAATGCCTACCGCCTCCTCCCTTCCCTGGGCACGGCCAAGCCAGGGGGCAAATGACTTGGCTGGCACCTCCCTCACTTGGACCCACTGGGGCAGAGCCAGCTCACCTGGGGCGCAGGCAGGATTCCGTGCTGATGGGTGCTCTGCCAACCTCCCCCTTTCCCCAGACTCCCAGTGCGTAGGCTGGGGAAGGGGCACTGACCAAGAGACAGGCCCCCTTCTGTCCCAGTCTGTAGATGGGCCGAACCGGGCACAGGATGCTTGATGGATAGAGAGGACAGTTCTCTGTTGAGGGCCCAGGAAATGATTTCCATGCAAATGAGATGCAAACTCCTTAATGAGTTTGCAATTAGGAGTCCAAGCCTGCCAGGCCCGGGCAATGCCTTTGGGTTTTATGAATGGGCCCGGGCCGGGAGGGGGAGGCGGCGCGCCGGTCCGCCCCCACAGCTCCCTGTCTCCGCGCCCGCGACATGCCGCGCCGCACGTTGCTGCCTCACGGCCCGCCGCAACTTGGCCGCCCGCCAGCGGGTCAGCTGCTCCGGACGGCGCGGGAGGCTGTCGGCCAGAGTCCCCGCCACGCTGCCTGCCGGCGTCGCGTTGGGGCCCGAGGACACTCCCCCTGAGGCCGGGTTGGGGCTCTGTCCTCCAGCGCCCCTTTCCCCGTTATGGGAATGGCTTCTTGCAGTTGGACGAGCAAAATTAGCCTTTGGGATGGGAGAGCGCTGGCTCCCAGCTTGTAGGACCGTGTGTGGGTGTGTGACCTTGGGAAGGTGGAAGCAAAGGTGACCGGACAGGAACTAGTTTCCATCCTAGAGTCCCTGCATCTCCCTGGCTTCCTTTTAATGCTGCTTCTCTCCACCCCAGGGCACCTGCATTTTTTGTGTACAAAGCTGCCCCGGTCTGCTCTTGGCCTCTTAAGTGGGTGCACGTGCAGAGGTCGGCCGTGGCCCCAACAGAGCCTCACCAGATCGCCGGTATAGAACCCTCTTTCCTCAAAGCTTCCTCCCTTCCACCGCTGCTTTCAGAGTAGATTAACTAATTACCTCCAATTAAAGCGCCCAGCTCTCTGTTCCTCCTGAGTCCAACCCCGCCCCTGGGAGCCTTCCCTGGCTGGCTGGGTCTGGAAGGGGATCTGGCCACTTAGGTGGATCAATGAATCGGTTAAGTAAGGGCACCACAAAGGAAGCCCCGTGTCAAATGCTTTATGAGGAGTGGTTCGGACAGCCTGGCCCTCTGGCTTTGTCAGCTGTGGAGATGAAGTCTGGCCTGGGCCTCAGGCACCAAGGCCTGCGAAGGTCAAGAGTGGTGGGCGCCTCTGGAGGTAAGACCTGGGTGAAGGGTCTGAGGACAAGAGAAGCAACTGTCAGGGCCGGTCCCAGAAGCCACCAGCCCTCGGGCCTTCCTCACGCAGCACTCAGGGACAGCCAACTCCAAACGACCCTCCTCTCTCTAACCTTGTTCACTCCCGCCCCTTCTAGGTTCTCGTCTGCCCCACCCCTCAGTGGCCTCAGCTCTAGCCCAGCCCAGTCCATCCCAGGCCCCGCCCTGACCCCACGTGTGGTACGTGAGGGAAAGGATACCTGGCACCGGAGGTAGCACGATGGGCTGTGACCCAAGTCTCACCTCTGGACAAGCTGGCCTGTCTTGGTCAGGCAAGCTCATGCCAGGCTGTGACTCAGGACCTAATTCTGCCCTGAGTGCTGCCATAGCAGGGATCTGGGCTCGGAGCTCTTGAGAGTCTGCGAAGGGAGGGTGAGCTGCTGCCAGTTGCAGGCTTCCATCTTGGGGTACTCTCTCTCTCTAAGCTCTTGGGTTCAGAGTATCAGACTTGGCATTCCAGCATAATGCCCTGGTAGGAGGTGGCAGGGAAGGCCCTTTGGCAGGCTCAAGAGCTTCATGGACAGAGGTCAGAAAGGGCCGTTTCTGGGCTGTCAAAAGCCCTGTTTGCCAGCTTGCTTACCCATTAGGCACAAGTAAAGATGGTCACGACTTCCTCACGTCTAGGGATACGTCCTAATATATGCTTGGACCATTGAGGGGGGAGCTTAAAGTTTTCACTTGTTTCTCTGCCCCTTGTCCCCTTCCCCAGACCTCCCTTAAGTACATCTGCAGGACTTTGTTCTTTCCTGCACTTTGTATTGGCCAGCAGAGGGCGCTGCCTAAGGACCCGGGGCCACTAGGGAGATGGGCGAGAATCCTTCCTTGTGTGGGGCTAGTGAGTCGTCCAGTCTCTCTCTCTCTCTCTCTCTCTCTCTCTCTCTCTCTCTCTCTCTCTCTCTCTCTCTCTCTCTCTCTCTCTCTCTCTCTCTCTCTCTCTC